TGTCAGTGAACGCTGATGTCAGTGAACGTTGATGTCAGTGAACGCTGATGTCAGTGAACGCTGATGTCAGTGAACGCTGATGTCAGTGAACGCTGATGTCAGTGAACGCTGATGTCAGTGAACGCTGATGTCAGTGAACGTTGATGTCAGTGAACACTGATGTCAGTGAACACTGATGTCAGTGAACGCTGATGTCTGTGAACGCTGATGTCAGTGAACGCTGATGTCATCCCTGACTGGAGTCACGTTCACAGGACGCTCTGTTGATGACGCTACAATAATCTAGAATAATCTAGAATAAAGCCCGGCTCTGACGTCACCACGGGAGGTGACATTTCTAGAACTCACCGGTTCTCAGGTTGCTGTCAGACTGTGCCGACTGAAGGGGGGGTCCTCGCCCCACGTGCTCCATGTTGGCAGGCTGGCTGCCGCTTCTGCACACATGCAGTACAAAGTTCATACCCATAATACCTGAGAATCTGTTTGTACATGTGTTTCATTGGTGGTAACCCCCCCCCACACACACACACACACACCTGAGCAGTGGGTTAACACACAGCAGTGAGTCAGTGTGTGTGGAGCACAAACTCCGCCTCTTGTTTGGAGCTCCGTTTTTCTCCCCTCCTGCTTTACTGCTGCCTGCGTGCTGCTCCGCGATGACGCGGAGAGGAAGAGTCCGTGTGATTGGGTGAAAGATCACCGCGCCGGACGCCTGCGATATGGGCCGACGCCCTCCCACGTAGTACCGTATCAGAGCAGGGACGTTGTCAAAGCGATCCTCCTCAAACTGGAACAGTTCCCGAGTGTAGCCCTGTCACACACACACACACACACACACACACACACACTGAACACCAGGAGCAGCTTTTGGAGGAGAAATCACAGTGACCTGAGGTCAACTCCAGGCTCAGACGTCACTCTCCTCAGCAGAGGGTCGAGGAGGTTGGTTAGCTGGTTAGCTGGTTAGCTTGGTTAACATGAACAAACAGCCACAGTAGTGTTTTGATTGACATCAGATTTGTGTCTGTTGTTTTTAAAAACCAACACTTCCTGTCGTCCCTCCTCAGTCCGACTTCTCTGATCCACACAGATACTTCTATGTCAACACACACACACACACACACACACCTCCATCTGAGACACACCTTCTTGGGTCGTAGAACCACCCGTATAATCTTAAAATGCATGGGTCCATTCATCCAATAGCAGCTCAAAACGTAGTCACCGGAGGAAGAGCTGGAGTCTCGCACCAGGAAATCTCCGTCTCTTTCAAACAGAGTCTCTGCAGCCTGAAATCACAGCAGCTCAACTGACAAACACAGACATGCAGCATATATATATGTATATATATGTACTTCCTAGTCAGTGTATTACTGATATATTCCATATTCAAGGAGACAGGTTTGCTGCCCTGACTACCTCTCTGGGCAGCGGGCCGTGATACCAGGCGTGGCTCCTGGGGTCGTCCGTACCGAGCTTCATCTCCTCCTCCAGCTCCTTCTTTAACAAGTCCATCTCTCGTCGACCACCAAAGAGCTACAACACACGCAGAGTGACAGGCAGGGGGCGCTCACACACTGTTCCCTGGACAAGCGTCTGTACTAGTTTGATGGAGACATGTCTCTCGTGGAGACACTGATGGTTTGACCTCTCACCTTGAGCTGGCTGAGATATGCAGTGACACTCCTCCTCTTACTGGAAACAAAGAGAGAGAAGACGTGATGTTGGTCATGGAGACCAGCTGTGACCTGTGACCCTAACTATAACTACAACATACAGTATCTAACTCCAGAAAATATAAGGATGTTTGAAGTCATATGGTTGTCTGTTGTTCTATAAGCAGATTGACTGTAGTTCATACCTGTGTGTTAACCTATAACAACAGTGTATTTAAGCCTAACCCTGTTCTATCAGGCAGCTTCACAGTATCACTGACCACAGACGTGTTCATTCACAGTATCACTGACCACAGACGTGTGGTCTAAATCTGATCTGATCTACAGTCCTGAACCACCGTCACTGCTGGTACTCAGTTATTTTGTCATTGTTGATGAGCAACATCCTGTCACTGAGGGGCGTTGGCTCACACAACACCTGTACACTCTACACGGCCGAACCGGAAGCTACAGACAGACTAATAACCGACGTTTAACACCGCCTCATTACACAGTTTCTCTAATCTCATTCAAAGTGACTTTTTGTCAAGTTTAACACGTCTTCACAGAGAGCGGTTACGACTTCACACACAGCTGCCTGTGAAGTTTTATCAACCGTTAGCCGAACACAACATCTCGCGTTAATTAAACGAGATTGTCCGCTCGTTTGAAACCAGTTCGACCCAGTTCAACCCGCCGCTCCTACCTGTCGGTCCGCCTCGCTGTGGCAGCCGTCGTCAGTCAGACATGTTTACGGGTTGTTTCCCAGATAAGAGTGAACTAAAGAGCAACAACAACAGCCGCTGGGACCGTCCTACAGACCTTGTCCGCCTCTCAGCTCCCCGGCCCTTCTCTCCGCTCTCCCTCCTCCTCGTTCACGCAGTTTGGGACGAGTTCTCACAAGTTTCCCCAGTCTCTCTCTCTCTCTCTCTCTCTCTCTCTCTCCTGCTGCTGCTCCACCTCCACCTCCCGTTGAGACTCGGGTGCTGAACTCCGCTATCTGGCCCACATTCTTCAGATAACGACGGAGGTCGCCATTCCCTTGTTTCATCCTGCCAGGACGGACTGTCGGACCAGGTTTGTCTCAGGTTTGTACAGTTGACCACAGTTCAACAACAAGAGACTTCAGCTGAACTATGACCTAATAGTTAGGTCCAGTCAGACGGATTTTAAACCTTTTTGACGTAAATATATTGCCTGTGTTTGAAGGCAGAGCCTTTTAACATTAAAACATTAAAAATAGAAGCTTCAGTGGAACACGTTGAGGGTTGGTAACAAGTGAATCATGTATAAAACAAACGGACAGAGCTAGCTAGGTTCAAAGGGGTGAGGCAGAGGGTGAGTAAATCACAGTGGGGGACACATCTGGTTTCAACACATCCTTGTTGAAGTCATCTTCAGGAGGTGAGGCCACCACTAAATATCCTGGGATTTGGTTTTAGTTAGTTTTAGTTGTTCGTTATAATCCAGTAACAAGTAAACTGGTGGCAGACGCCATCTTAGTGTCGTAAGAGGTTCCTTTACTGAAGCTCCAAACAGTCAGTAAACAGTCAGTAAACAGTCCGTTGATCTCTTATGCCTTCAAACCTCAGATTGTGTAAATCTATGTGCTGTGAATCCAACCTGTTTAAATGAGTTATGTGTTAACTAGTTGTGATAGTACCAACCGGAGCAGAACCTCGTGTGTGATTTACGACCTCGGTGGATCTTAGTTTCACCTGGAGCAGCACAGATGTGTCTGGACTTGACTGTGACTCTGTTGTTGTTTCATTTCACTGGATTCTTCAGGTGCGTTTCTCTGTGAACTTACTTGAAGTAAACCTCAGCGCAGAAACATGCTAATAGATATATTTGTATAGTAAAGCTAGTAAAGTTAATCGTGGTGAGTGCTTTGCATACGTCCGTGGAGGTGATCATCACCTGAGAATCACACACTGATATGATGCAGATTAGCTCAGTGATTTGTCAACACACGTTTTGACTGGTGGCTGTTCTCTCGTCACTCAGCTGTTCAAATACAAATGTTAATGAGCACAGAGGCCGAGCCAGTCCTTCCTGTTGAGCTGAGGTGGGAGCTGTGATAATGAGGTATCATCTCCTCTGAAGAGCTTCTCTGTCAGAGTCTCCGTCTGGGTCAGAGCAGCCCAGTGACCAACAGTAGGAACTGCTGCAGTGTCAGGAACAGCTGCTCCTTGTCCTCCTAATGAGGTCGTTAGCCTGGTAGTCAAAGCAGCACTGGAGCTGGCAGCTCAGGTGACAGTAATTCACACACACTCACACACTCACACACTCCAGGTCGGTGATCTCAGACTGTGACGGACTTTATGAGGCACTGGTTAATGATTAAACCATTAAACCAGCAGGACTAACGTTGTCTCTCAGTCCCATGAATACACACCCATACACACACTGTTGTCCTGATGTTGTACCAACACACGTACAATGTCAACACGGCTTACCTGCGTTTGTTGTCCTGACTTCTGTCGTCCTCCAGGGGGCGCAGCTGAGAGCAGGAGGCAGACAGACGCTGTTTGTTGTGTTCACGCTGGAGGCGGGGCAAAACACTCTGACGAAACATGTCCTTTCCAGGCTTCACCTGCAGGAGGCGTCATGGTGATAAATAATCTGGGCCTAAGGTACTGTTGGGTACGGTTCTGGTCCAGGTCTTACCAGGTCCAGTGATGATCCCAGCGAGTACTTCCTGCTCACCCTACGCTCTCGGAGTCGCACTCCTAAAGATACGGCTGTGTAGAAATAGTGAAGGTGATAGTTAATAATAGTTACTAGTAATAAAATATGTCATCTATATTTATTTGTTCCAAAATAAGTAGAATATATTTTTATTCTTCAGTTTTGGCAAAAGTGTTAGAACGTGTGGCTAATACTTTTTATCACCGTCCGGTCCGGCCCACGACTGGACTCCAAAACTGTAAGTTGTAAATTATTCCCCACTATTAAAGCAGCTAAAAAACGTAGAGATTTAATTGTATAGATGTTTTTACACACTTGATCAACGACGATGATTTTAGAGCAGTGTAAAAAGGCTCCACTATTTCATACGTTGATTTTAAATAAATTTCTTGAATTATTAGTTGGTAGCAGACGGTTTTAGAATCATAGATTTTTATGTTGCTGTGATATTTTGTCTGTTGAGGTTCAATGAGTTCAAATTGAGTGTTAATGTTGATCATCCACAGAGTGGCCAGTAGATGGAGCCGCTCTGCTGCAGTTACCTCTGAGTCTGACTATCGTCTCCCCCAAGATCGTCTCCCCCCCCCGTGACCACTGTGCTGGGTCAACGCTGCACCAGGAGATACAGCTGGATGGAATGTCTACAGCAGTGTACAGAAGACTGAACGGTGAAGACTACAGACTCTTCATCACCACAAGAACCAGAAGTCACACTGGAGTCGTTGGAAAATCAGACCAGACGTCACAGCTGTTTCAAAACTGTGGTCGTGTCACGATACAATAGTAGAGATTTCAGGAGGCTAAAGCTAGGGTTCATGGGACTACGTCGTGGTTCCAGGGACATGAACCACATCAACCCTCCCTTCATCAGATCAATGATGAAATGATGCCCAGAATGTGCACCAATAGAAATAAAGGGGCAGTGCCACATGGTCTGAGGCCTTGACAAAGATGGAGAACCTGATTGACAGCTGCGTTCTGAGTGTCTGCAACAGGACGTTATAATATGATGAGTGTGTGTGTGTGTGTGTGTGTGTGTGTGTGAGAGAGTCACCCGTCTGCGGCTCCATTTTCCGTCTGTCTGTGGACAGTTGGTTCAGGATCCGTTCTCTGTGGGTTGGATCTTCAACTCCTGCATCTCTCAGCTCTGCATCAGTCACATGCTGCAAACCCTGGGTCAAAACCCAGACAGGAAGATAAAGTCAGGTCAAAATAAAAACGCCGTCCACTGAATCACAGGTTAAATGTTGGGAAGCACGCGATCAGCTCCGCACTTCGTACCTCCAGACCATAATATTCACATTCCAGCGTCTTGGTGTACTGTGGAAGGCCGATCCGTCTCAACCACCAGGCGATGGAGCGATTGTTCATGTCTGAACAACAGTAAAAAAACCATGACATTACACACACACACACACACGCTTTTTCATTTGATTTTGCACAAACCAACCACCAGTATCTACCGTCCTCTGGTGTGTATAGTCCATGCTGCTGTTGTCACTGCAGCAGCAGCAGCAGAATGTAGCACCTACCTGTGAGGAGGTTCCACCCTGGATCTCTGACCGTTTCCTTTTCCTCCTACGTTCTCGCAGCTTCTTCATCTAAGAGCAGCCTCGTCGTGAAGTCTGTCTCTTTGTGGTGAAAGTGAAGGCCCGCTGCCCCTCAAACCTGCTGGGTCACCCACGAGCCAATCAGGTAGAGCGGCTCGTGCACCACTCCTCTGTGAAAGCAACAAATCAGAGCGCAGGAACCGCCATGAGGCGTGAGGAGGTGGAGAGTGCAGGCTGAGACTTGTGGCCAGAGATGGAACAACAAGGTGGAGATGTGAGTCTTTGTCAGCAGCTGTCAACATGTCCAGGCACACACAGGCATGCATACACAGCTGAGTGCCCCCCCCCGCACTCCCCCCCCCCCCACCCCTCTGTCAAATACATACATTATCTGCAGGTGTTAGACTGCCACCTGCTGTCCAGGACTTTAACTTTGAGGGATTTAAAGCAGAACTTTCTTTTATTTCACAGTTTAGATGTATCTCCCGCCACTAGGGGCATCAGTCTGTGAAAACTTGTCTAATATGTATTAGAATCTCAGAATTAAGGATTCAAATGAGTGTGGGATTAGCATAATTATGTCATGATACACTGTAGTATACGAAAGTGAGTCACTAGATGGCAGCATTGCAGCTCATTTTATTAATCTATTTTAATGATAAGAGGTTTGTATACAGAGCTGGTGCAGCAACTCACACTGTGGTTGTACTGATAAAACTGATAGATAAACATTAGCAGGACTGTATTGGTTTGGTTGATATTGGAATTACAAATCAAGTGTTTAAAGTGAAAATATCAGATGTCAGCAAAAAGTTAATATCGGACCTGTCTGGTTAGGGTTAGGTTAGGGCTGAGTCTTTGTGAAAAAGTCTGGGTCAATGTGTCCTTTCACCAAACTGTTTCACACAAATTATTTAAAAAAAAATTCAAATCATTCAGTTATATTTCACTTTCAATCCACAGAGGTGGCAACTGCCTGGTTTGCATGTGTGTAAATATGAGTGAGTCTGTGAGGGAGCGTCAGAGGAAAGAGGAAGTTGCGGTGATGAAGTTAAAAGCCTTCGACACTGTGCAGCTCTGCAAAACACCCACCACGGAAGAGACGCCGAGCAACAGAACGGAGAGTCTGAAAGTGAGATCATGAAAGGAAGATGAACATCTAGAGCTGAGACGTCAACGGAGCTGCTGAAGGTGAGCACCACTCTGAAGATCTGGAGATCACTTTAATGACTTTAAATAACTGCTGGGTTCAGGGGTCAGTCGGAGCTGTGTGACCCCTAACCCCTTTGACCTTGAGTTTTCACCTGTTAGTTGACCTGTTGGTTGACCTGTTGGTTGACCTGTGGGCCCTGTGCTCCACAGCGGTGCTGGTTGAACACAGATCGTGTCTCCGTCACCGTGGTCTTTGTGTCTGTGACTCAGAGAGACGACATGGAGCTGTGGCGACAGTGTGCGCTGTGGCTGATCGACTGCAGAGTTCTTCCTGAGAACCACCGGGTCACATGGGAAGGAGCTCAGGTAGACCACCTTCACACACACACACACACACACACACACACACACACACACACTCTCTCCTCCCCCTCCTTTCTTTTTCTTCTGTGTGTGTGTGTGTGTGTGTGTGTGTGTGTGTGTGTGTGACAGGTGTGTGACCTGGCCCAGGCCCTCAGAGATGGCGTGCTGCTCTGCCAGCTGCTGAACAACCTGCTGCCACAGGCCGTCAACCTGAGGGAGATCAACCTGCGTCCACAGATGTCCCAGGTTGGACCTCTGCTTTGTTCCTGGGGGGGACACCGGGGGGGGGGGGGCCCCCATGGGCACCGGGACGTGTCTACAGAGGAGGAGGTTTGGGATTTCATACAGGACCGGGAGCTTCCATTAGATTAGGCCACAGACCACCACTAGGGCGGCGCCATCTTTGAACTTAACATAAAGGGTTCAGAAAACTGGAAGGAACGAGACTCGCTGTCCTGTCCTCTGTGTGTGTGTGTGTGTGTGTGTTTGACATGTGAAACTCGGGGAAATCCTATGTGATTTATGATGATTAAGAAACATCCGGTGACTAAGTGAGGGCAGGAGTCCACACACACACACACACACACACACACACACACACACAGACGGTGCTCCAGTAGAAACTCTTCCATCTTGTCTCCTCTGAGTCGTTAACAGCTGACAGACTCTGGAGAACTCAACGTTTCCTCTTTTTTCTTTCATATGAGAGTTCCGCATTTCCCTAACTGAGCAGAGGGAGGGTGTGTGTGTGTGTGTGTGTGTGTGTGTGTGAGTCCTCAGTGTCTGCAGTCATGTCTTTGACATGGGCAGCAGAACCTTGGTGATATCACAGTTTGGACAGAAATAACCTGGACTAGTTTTACAAAACAGAAACAGAAACTTTCTCTGAACCACTTTTTTAAACATTTTATTAAATGCTGCCAAATGAAAGATTTCTGTTCTGTCGACGTGTTAGTTTGTTCTGGTTAGAAAGGTCAGGAAGGTCATGCAGCTAAAGGAGCAGTTTTTAACCTCTGACACAGAGAGTTTGGAGTCTGTTTAATATTTTATCCTGGAATGAGAATCATTGTAGTGTGTGTGTGTGTGTGTGTGTGTGTGTGTTTTTTGCTCAGTTCCTTTGTCTGAAAAATATCCGGACGTTTCTGGGAGTTTGTCAGGAGAGATTCCAGCTGAAGAAGAGTGAACTGTTCGAGGCCTTTGACCTGTTTGATGTCCGAGACTTTGGAAAGGTGACGTTTCACTCCTCCGTATGTGTCATTTAAAGCAGGGTTCCCAACCCCTGGTCCCCGGATCGGTGTTGGTTCTGTCTTTTCCATTTCCTGTCTTCATTTCCTGTTCTAAAGAAAGAACATTGGATTTTCTGTTAATTTTCGACCAATGAGGCGACAGCTTTTTTTATTGAACCTCGTTCATTTTCACTCAAACTAAAACACAAACCGTTCTAACGACGTCTCTGTCCCAGGTCATAGACACTCTGTCCATACTGTCTCAGACGTCCATCGCTACCCTCAAAGGACTACAGTAAGTGACTGCAGTCCAGACCAACACTGTCCAGTACCAGTAGAACCAGTCACACACTCTGACCTGTGTTTCTCCTCAGGCCGTTTCCTCTACAAGAATGTGCTCCTGATGATGAAATCTACAGCGGCCTGTCGGACCAGATCGAGTGAGAGGACTCTTCAAATCACTCTGATAGGCTGCTCTTTAACTCTGCTCTCATCTGACTTTAAGTCACATTTGAAGTTAGGATGAATCAATGTTCATCATCACAGAGAGAGAGAGAGAGAGTTACCCCACCCCCACCCCACCCCTCCACCCC